GATTTGATAAATGCCATATTCACCACTAAATCTCTGGGCCACAAAAAAAAAAAAAAAAAAAAAAAAAAGGCAGACTCAGTGTTAAAAAAGGATTAGGAGACTCAAGTCAGCAAGCTTAAAATACCAAGAGCCACCTTAAAAAGACACCTTTTGAAGGACTCCTAGTGGGAAAGAGCAGAACCAAGACATACCACTATCAGTCCAACTGCTGATAAACACCTTTGCAGCTATTTAAACCTGCTGCAGAAGGTAGAAACCTTCAACATACTTCGATGGTGAGCAGATTCAGCACTCAGGTCATTCGGTATCTGACAAACTGTAGTGTCCAAGCAAGCTGACTCACCAGAACGCTCATGGCACCTCATCGTTCATGCATCTTGGAAGGCAGAAAGATGGCATTCCTCCAGATGGCTTCTATGCAGAGGATCTCCAAGATTTCTTCTTCGTCTTCCCTTACCTACTTGTGTACATAAGTGATTTTCAGGATCCCATCAGCTTTTACCAATTAATTTACAGCAAACTGAAGATTCACATTCCTTTTTTTCCCAAGCTTCTTAAATATCCAAGTTGATCACTGGTTGCACTGCTATAGGAAGGAGCAAATGGGAACAGGCCATTTTTAAGCTAGTTGCTGCCAAGAGAGAGGCCTATTGAACTGTACCCCAACCAAGGCTATGGTCAAGGTACCACGCTTCTGGTAGAAGTTTTTGGAGTCCACAAATCAATAAAATGGTCTTGGTGGGGAAATCACTAAATATATTAAGTTAAAATCAAAGCTGTTCAAAATTAACTGATCTAAATTTGAGAGTCATCTAAAATGTAGATTAATTTGATATAGCCCTACCATGCTAAAATGCACAGGTAACAGCCACTTTCTGGCTCTTTTATTCCTATTTCCTTTTCAAGCAGATTCTTGACAGAAACTTCAGGCTTGTAAACACCCAATAAGGCCATTTGCGATTTAAATCTTCTATTACTCAGGACATTGTTCATTAAGTAACTTGCAAAGATTCTTGGTGGTGTGTAATTTCTCTGGGATCATCTCAAACATCCTGACAACCAACCTTTGAAGATTAGTTAATTAGGCTCAGAGCAAATTACTATGAGGAAGGGCCCTGTAACTGGCACAGAAAAAAAATCTACAACTGCAAGGTACTTAAGCATCATGAGAACTGCATGTTTTCATGGCTGGTTTCAACTTATAGATGAAATCATGAACACGTATCTGTCAGAACTGCTGGTAAATACTCACGGAAATATAGACAAGACGCACATTTAGGTCACTGTAACTGGAAAACATTTTTGAAGGAAAACTTGGGGAAACATTACAAATCAGCTAGAAAATAAAGCTCCCAAATTCTGCACTTTCAAGACATGGTGAACTTGATTCTTAGAAAATTATTTTGCATTGTTAAGCAAAAGAATAAAGTTCTAGGAATCCGCAGAATAGTCAATCGCTACTTTCTGCACTTTAACAGTAGCTGGAATGATTCAATCAATTTTTTGTTACAGAGCCTAAATGGGTAAACATACTTCCTTCTTGAGTTATTACGTACTTTGTAATCTACAGCTTTTACTGTTCAGGAAATAAAGTTGGAAGCACACATTCAGTTTTAACACCTATCACAAGTTTTAACAGCCATCGAGATGTCGAATGGCTGGCTGCTTTTATTTACAATAAATTTTCAATATGAGACTATTTTCTAATCACTTGCTTACGTGTTGTGTTTAGAATGCATGATGACTCCAATATAGAACGGAAAAGGTCCATTTTGAAAGTACATTAAAAAAGGAGGAGAGATATAAACATTGCAGCTCATTAGTGTATTTCAGGTGGTATTTGGTAGACCACCAGCAGCAAGGCTACAAGAACTTTCAGTGTGCGTACACAGGGAAGGAAGATAACCAAAGTTAAGAACATACTTCAGCAATATCAGCTGTGTTTCAGGAACTACGCTACAGAGGGTTTCTAGCTGAAGGTAACTCAAATCAGCTTCTGGATATTTCTACAACGCCCTCCTCAGCGTGGCAGCTACAAACAGCTGCTGCCCTGCAGCGGGAACACCACACCTCGTCCAAGTTCAGAAGGCAAAGTAAACAGATCCTTGCACAAATTTCCTATGTATAATGCAGGGGAAAGTTAGAGAAAAATAATACATTAAAACCCCTTTATATGTGTATATTCTTCCACTTATTCTCAGGCATACAGACTCTGCTGCAGCTCTCCTGGAGGGAAACACGGCAGAGCAGGCCCACTTGAACAAAATAAGCTTCCAAATTCCAGGCAGAGGAATTCCAGGCCCAGTGCTCAGCGGGGGAAGCACCCAGATACTACAAAAATGCTACAAAGCGCCTTGAGACTGCTCTTTCTGCAGTACTGCGAAGGGAAAAAGAGCGTAAGTGTCAAGAATGGTGATAAACTGCAGTAGTTAGATTAAACATTTATTTTTCATATATTCACAAAATCTTCACAAAAGTATTGAAACTCAAAAAGGAATTAGACTTGAGTCAAATACAGAGATGAAATGTACAAGACAAATGAGCAGGCAAACTAAAAGGTCTTGAAAGTATTTTACTTCAGATTGAAAAACGAACAGTTCAACTGTTCTGTTTAAATAAAGATTTGCAAGATATACAGTATTTTATGAATACAATGCTGGTCATTTGAGGCAATGTAAAATACCTCAATTTTTCCTTCATGCTTTTTTTTTTTCTTTCTTTTTTTTTTTTTTTTTTTTTTCTTTTAGAAAGATACTGTTTACCAAAAAGAAACTTGAGCAGTCCAGGAAAAGCTATTTTCCATTAAATTTATGAAAACCATAAATTGAGGCAAACCTAAGATTCCCAATGGAATCAAGATTATCTTCCCGCTACCACCACCTTAAAATTATCACATGCTTATTGGAACACTAATATCTGCACCCTAAGAGTACATTTGCTTTCAACGATGAGGGTGATTCTTTTAAAAACACTTCAGTGTGGTAAATGCGATACAGATCTTTGCAAGTATTAAGTTTTGGAACAGTTTTGCTAATAGCAGCTAACAATACTGGATTAATATAATTTATAAATAATTGTTCCCTAAGCGGTGAACATAAGTCTACACATTCACAATAATCTAAAACAAAATAAATACTGTGATTATGCATAATGTGGTACAACTTTTACTAGTTTCTATGAACAAAAGCTCAACATCTTGTCGATAAAATTATCTGATCAAATTAAAATATGAACCTAAAATTTTAAAAAAGCATTGTCAAATTAACATCACTTAAGCTTAGTGTTAGAGTAAATGTTATGACTTTCCGTATTTTTTTGAATATATATATTCTTTTTTGAAGTAAAACACTTTAACACATTGAAAATGTTTACTAATTTAAGTGATGACATCAGTTCTGGTCTTATTTTAGCATTATTTTACTTTAAAAATCATTGCACTCATTAGTGCCCATTAAAGGTCAGGTTGGTCTGTAGTATTCTGTAAATGTACATAAAAAAAAGTTTCTAAAAGCTAATAGTACTTTTTATAAAAGCATCATCTCCAGAACAGCTGCATTAAATACAGCCACGTATGCCAAGTACAGACTTTCCTCTTTAAAGAAATATGTGAAAGTAAATGCCACTTAACTCTCTACCACTGAAGTGTCCCAACTCCTGTTCCAAGCTATGCCTGTGAGTGTAATTACACAATGAATTTGCATCCATGGCATCAAAGTTACTGCAACCTAGACTTGTAATGCAACTGAACCAGACAAATGTGGAGTTTAAATTAACTGATAGCTAGGTCAATGAAGAAATACCATGAGATATGAAAGGTTTGGGTCTTTAAGGCAATACAAAATATATTTCATTATTTTATTTTATTTTAAGTTGTTTTGTGGTTGTTTTTTAAAATAATTAAATGTAAATATAAAAATGCCTAAGAGGGGAGTGAGAAAAAAAATACTTTAATTGTAAAATTTACTTAAAGCTTCAACAGTTATCATCTCCTACAGGAGTTAGCAAAAATATAAAAGACAAAAAAACCCAGACCTAGAAGAGGGAGGGAAGGCACAAACAAAGAGGCACAGGATTAAAGCAGCCCAGGAATGCAAACATCTGTAACAAACTGAGTTTTGTTGTTTGTTTTTTTAAAAACAAAAAAAAAAAGAAAAAAAAAGAAAAAGAAAACAATCATCACCATCAACCAACCAAAAAAAAAAACCCAAGTGGCTTTATATTTCTTTAAAAAAAAGAAAGGGTTGGGAAGAGACCACTAAGGGGAGGAAGAGAAGGATGCAACTATAAAACCCCATTGCCTGAAATGATGGCACTCTAGAAAACAAGGTGAAGGTTACTTCTCCGAGATGACAAGCTCAGTGTCTACACAAAGTACATGTACACTTTATACAAATGAAGAACTTCATTTGCCACCATAAACCTTTCTTTCAGAGAAACAGCTTTTGCAGATCAAATGTTCTATTAAATCTTTTAAATGCCAAGAAAAGAAATTCTGAGCAATATAACTAGTAATGTCTCTTTATATGGATGTTAAGATGACAATTCAGATTATTTTTCCAAACTAATCCTGAGAAAAATTTATGTTTACAATTTAAACAGTAATGTTATGCAAAAAGTATTAACAAATCCACTATTACAAATGTCAGTTTTCCTATATGGTCATCTATATATACACAATAAAATGGTAAGTATATGCAAAAATAATAAAAAAATCATGCACAAATTACTTTCACCTTTAAAGGCTGGGTTTCCCTCAAAATACAATTTTTTGCTTTTTTTTCCTATTTTTTTTGTGTTTTATTTGTTTGTTACCACCCCCTAGACACACTGAGTACTACCTCTACAGGTCAGCATGAGCTGATGGGAAATACATTTATTTTACATTCAAGCTTTTATATCCTAAATGACCCTGTTGTAGCATATGACTTATCAAATGAGCAGCCTTTTTCCTCTTTTTTTAAAAAAAAAATTTTTATTTTTCTTTTTTTTCTTTTTTTTCCTTTTTTTTTTTCTTTTTTTTTTTTTTTTTTTCAGTGATCAATCTTCATGATCCGTTCCGTGGCGAGCTGGGAAAAAAAAATGCAGTTGCTAATCAATGTCTGAACAGTCTGAAGCTCCGGAAGAGATCCAAGGAGTCACTATCAAACTATCCTGTAGCATGAGATCATTGCACACAGAAGAACAGTCATAAAATAGGCAACTATCTACAAAGGTCGGAAAGGGCCGCATCCCTCTTGTGTTTCCTCTTTTTGCCGTGGAAAAACTGATGATGTGATTTGCTGCCTTGATGTTGTTTGTTTGTGACTGAGGTACCGTGGCTTGAGTTTGTTGGACCTTGGAAGCCTTTGTTAGAAGAGCGAAATAACCGTGCAGATCCATGCTGTAAAAGAAAGCAAACATGGTAAATCAGTGCTAAAAAGAAAAAAGCGTGAATTACACAACCCTATGTCTGGATAACGAGGACGTTAACTCATGAAAGTGTCACACTTGAAAAAATTGATATGGCAAAAGAAGCTAGGCCATTGCTTAGACAGCAGCACAGTAGCATGGATCTTTCACTGTGGTGGTTGCAAACAAACGTTCATCTCTAGAGCCAAAACCATGCTGGTCAAGAGAGAAGAGCAGAGCACTTTGAATTATGAAAAGGATAGAACTGTTCTATTGCTCCCATTTCACAACCATCAAAAAGTGTTTTACAGAAACAGAAGTCAATAGTCCAAGGCGACAGATGGAGATTGCTCAAATCTCATCTTCTGTGCAAAATTAAAACGGCATTCTTTTAAGACCAGGACTAATTTTATACCACATCTTTTTACAGACTGAGTATCTCAGACTGTGCATATTCACATTGCAGCACCAGAATTAGCTCTGTGTAACAACACAAACGCACACTCATGGTATATCCAAGGCCTAGTTTGTAAACTGCCTCGTTAGAGATACATTGTCAGCAAGGAGGAGGCAGCAAGTCTTCAGAACTACTTTTCAGGAATAATTTTCCTAAATTTGGAAAAAGTATAAAAATTTAAACTGCATATACCTAAAGTCTGTTGTATATAGAGGCATATAGTATTTCCAAATTACTGAGTTGTCATAGAAACATTCTTCAACATGACAAATCCCTTAAGTGCGTAAGCACTAGTAGGTCTCATCATAAAGATACTTGTCTTTAGGGGGAAATGGGAGGGAATTTCACGTATCAGCAAGGTATCTTCATCTCCCTTAATGAAAGGCAGTTCAACAAGTATCAACAGCTAACAGAGCAGCCAGTCATGGGTTTAAACATACATTTTTACTAACTGGTTTGTGCTAAAGTGTAGGAAAGTCTCATTAGTTCTCAAATTCTGCAGTAAAGACTGGACCGACGTGCTTTTTGCCAAAAGGAAATGGGTGCAACACAACTGTATACTTCTGGCAAATCTAGATTTCCCAAAATAAAGTCAATCCAATTTCATCTGGTTTAAGGCTGGGAAAGCCACTGTTGTAAACTCATCTCTGTAAGCTAAACAGAGAACCAGATGATTTTAGGTACAATCAGTGCTCAAAGCTTTTTAGTGGGGTAAAGGGAGGAGAAAAATGCAGTGTTTCCTTTCCAGAACAAGCCACCCTTCCATGGAGGACATGTGTAATACTCAAATAATCTATACAGTTGTTGTTTTCAAACATTTCACAAACCTGAGATTTGTTCGTGTTGCTGGATGTATTGGCTGTTTGGCTATTTTGTGTTTTCCCACTTGACTGGGAGGATTCCAGTGACACTTCTTGTGACCCCACTCTGTTTGTGGTAGACTGACGACAACTCAATTGTTTAGAGGTTTTGCAAGGTGTTCCATCAGAATCCTTCAGGAAAATTTAAAGTATTAGTGAGTTTTTCTTAAGAGTGAGTTTTTCTAAAAGTGAGTTTTCCCTTTAAAAAAAAAAAAAGCTAAAGTGGACAAAACTTAAAATGTGTTTATTCTATTAGGTATCAAACCTCCTTCAATCCAGAATTCTTACTGAGTAAATAGATTAAAAGATTTATGGATGCATGATTATGATTTTGGGATTTGTATTTTGTTTTTTAAATAGATTTCCTGAACATTTATTTTTAATATGCCTTTTTTTTTAAAAGCATATGGCTTAAGACTACCAGTCTTTTATTTTTTTTTTAAATACAGTTTTCCCAGAGAAAAGAGGGCTATGTAACTTTGTAACTACTGTATTCACTTTCTACATGTGTTGTGTCCAAACACACTGCAACTTACATGTGGAGAAATTGCATAAGAGGTAACATCTTATGCAAGTTAGGATTCTGGATGAAATAACTAATTAGGATTCTGAGCTTTCCAAATGTACTGTGGCAATACAAATCAGGACAAACATTCAAACAAATTCAGAAAACAAAATCAGAAAACCTCCAGTACTTACTACATCACTAGAGCTGGACAGTGTAGACGATGATGATGATAAAGGACCTGATGAAGAATTTGAAGAATGTTTACTAAGTGTTTCTGAAGTTTTATTTCTAGGTTTTCCCAGTGCTTCATTCTCTTCAGCAAGATTATTGTTGCATTTGTCTAGCTGCTGAGTATCTACTATCAAGGTTACTCCATTACCTATTGAAAACAAAACAGAAGCATCACCACACGTTAACTACTAAAATACGTTCCCTTTTATTTTTTATTACCCACTCAGGTATTAAATATCTATTATATCCAGCAGGACATGTACAGACACTTGCACACGTACATACTTCTACTACACACAGGCACCTGTGTGCATGTGTTTGTGTGTGTGCACTGCACGCAGCAAGCCAACAGCTCGCAGAGGGTGCGGTGGCTTCCTGACAAGACCCATTAATGCACACTAAGAAAACCACAGCTTAAGATGGAAATTAGAGCGGTAAGACATGGAACAAGGTACTAACAGCGCTCAGATGTGCTGCTAACTAACATGACACACTTCAACAGTGCTCAAATACATAGGTTTAAATTCTGTTCCTATACGCCCAATACTCAGCAACTCCCATTTTTCTTCTGCCAGAGCTCTTAGGGTCGTAAGAACTTGAAGTAAGTCTGGTTGCTTTGTGTGATACCCTATGCTGAAAATATGAGATACAGAACTCTCATATCTCACTAACTGCTATCTTAATTACAAAAAAAAAAAAAATAAAAAAAAATCAGAGCTTAAATCTAAACTAAATCTACAAGACGACCACTGTAACTCACCATGAGCTTCCTGACACAGGGTTACTGTTATTTTTTTAATTACTGTTTTATCTCACATAAGACACCTAGGAGTTACCTCTAGATTTATGTAATATACATACCCCCACTGGCTGTATTTGTATATAGAGTTTAATACATACATCACAATAGGTAGCTAAGTATTACTCGGGAGCTTGCAGGACCGAACCGTGGCTGTCTGCCATCGCCGGGGTACGGCAGCACCACAAGAGTCTATACGCCGACAAACCACCACCGGCCAAGAAGCACGCTCAACTTACAAGGACAGAGAGGGAAATCACTAACAAAAGCTTTAAAACCAAATAAACAGAATCCCAGCCTAGCCTAAAGACTGGTAGTTGTGTCATCTTCTCTGATTAATCCCTAACAACAGAAGACTTCTGGTAGCTAACATTCTAAAATTAATTGCAGAGTATTAAAATTAATTTCAATTTGAAAACTTCCAGCCAGCAGATACACCTACACTAAGAAAGGGTGGCAACTGGCTGGTCAAGTCAGAAGATGTGCGATGAAAATAAAGATAATTTTAGACCATTTTCAGCAAGTTCTCTAGCTTGATTTTGTGTGTTTCCATCTGTTAGTAAGAAGAATTATGATTGGTATTTCAGCATATTTCTGTTTAGAAGACTTATTCCACTTATATGGTTAATCCTGGTTTAAATGTTGTGTCCATACACAGACAATATGTTAAACTTTAAAATGAAAAATAAAAGAACTACAAAGGGTAAGGATTTAAACTAGCATTCCCAGTAATTCTTTTTAAAACCTTGTCCACATTTAAAGGACAAAGGGCCTGTGACAGTAACAACACGTGTAATTTAAATTGGAAGTTTTTCAGAAGCCTCCTTTTGCAAGGCAGCACTCTTTACGGACCTCTCTGCTGACCAAATCTCTTGCAGCAGAATAAAGATGTGGCATGGCCTTTTTACTCTTGTACAAATCTAAATTTTCTGGACGAGAACACAAGAAAAAGCCCATCACCACTGAGCAAAAAAGTGAATTCCTATTAAGATGCATACATTGCCTGATGTGGGGCAAAAGCAACAACAAAATTTGCATGATCAAGACACACAGAAAGTTTCCCACCACCAGCCATGCTTAGGCAAACCTACCATTGCACGAAGACTCTGTCCTACTTTGCATTCCCCACTGCTTCGATATCCAGTCTCTGTATGTGGCCACTTCTTGCGTTACTCTAATTATTCTACCTAATATACTGGAAACCAGGAAAAAAACCAAAACCGTCACCACAATTAGTTTTCAGACAGACCAAAATATAAGCAATTAATGTCTGAGATTTAGACTCATAAAATTTACCTTTCTGTTTCATTGTTAGGATAATATTTAGCTATCGGGGAAACTGCATGGCTCAGAACAACATAGGCATAATCAAAAGCCTGTTTCACTTGCATGGCACCGTATGAACTCCTCCCAACATCATTACCTTAAAATAAGAATAGAATTAAAGAAATAAATAAGAATGGGATCGTGGTTACCTCATTTCAGACAGGAGACAGTAATATTTTTTTTAAATTGCCCTTAAGTCCCAACTCACTGCAGTTACTTCTTGTAGAATAGCATTAGTGAAGCATAAAGATTTGAAAGAGCTTGAAAGACCTATAGATATTTCCAGGCACTGAAGTCCAAAACAGCAATTCTCCGGGTAAAAGTGCAATACATGAAGGGAAAAAAAAAAGTAAAAAAAAAAAAAAAAAAATCCTGTACTATGTATATTACACATATAACAGCACTATCCCAGCTGACATTTTTCTAAATCAGGAATATGTTCCCTCTTTTCTAAACACAGTACTTGACTCGCCATTTCAGAAGCCATCCATTCCAGTCAACAATCAACCTTAATGTAAAGGTAACAGTAAAGAATGAATCACTACGTCAGTATGTGACTTTACAGAACCACACAGCAGAGAGTGTATGACTGTACGTTATAAAGCGGAACCGTGATACAGGCGAGCACAAGCTTGAAAGGGACCACGCGCACACCCAGGCACATCCAGCCCACACTCAGGCCCTCGCTGCGTAGCTTTACTGCTGTTACAGCAGAGCACGTGCCAGTTGTTCGTGTGCCCTCCCATCCCACCCCCGGCAGCAGAACGGGCATGCTCTTGGGCAGCACAGTCACTTCTGCTAGGAACATGTCTTAAAGAAAATCATTGTGTTCTGAGTGCATCTTGGGTTCGTAGACATGAACGAAGTATTTCTGTTTGGGTTTTGGTGGTCATTCTGCACTATCCTTTGATTTAACTCCTCCTCCTGTTTTCAGCTGGGATAGAGTTAATTCCTAGCAGCTGGTCTAGTGCTGTGGTTTGGATTTAGGATGAGAATGATGTTGATAGCACACTAATATTTCAGTTGTTACTAGGCAATGTTTACACCAAGTTGAGGACTTTTCAGCTTCTCATGCTGCCCCGCCAGCGAGGAGGCTGGGGGTGCACAAGAAGCTGGGAGGGGACATGGTCAGGACAGCTGACCCAAAGTGGCCAAAGGACTACTGCATACCATATGACGTCATGCTCCATATATAACTTGGGGGAGATGGCCAGGGGCTGAGACCACGGCTTGGGAACTATCTGGGCATCGGTGGTCTGCAGGTGGTGAGCAATTGTGCTACATCACTTGTTTTGTACACTCTATTATTAATATTACTATTATTACTATTATTAGTATTATCCTCTTCCTTTTCTGTCCAATTAAACTGCCTTTATCTCAACTCACAAGTTTTACCTTTTTTTTTTCTTTTCAGTTCTCTCTGGGGGAAGGCTGGGTGGTTGTTTTAGCTGCTTGCCAGGTTAAACCACAACACTCCTCTGGATTAAGCATGCCCCTAACTTTTTTTCTTAGTCGCTACATTAAATCTTGGTTTATGAGGATACCTGGCTGTAAGGGATCTTCGATATACAGCATTGATGGTCTGTAGCCATCCAGCATGCTTTTTTGCACTTCATCCTTGGCAACGTAAGAGCCACCATCCTTTATTCGGATTCCAGTCTTCAGATAATTGAAGTGACGTCCATATAATTCAAAAAACTCTATTAAAAGAACACCATAGTTGGCATTGGGCATACAGGCATCTTCCCTGGGATGCAGCTATTAAGAAGAGAGAAAAAAAAAATTTTTTTTTCAGACCTCAAGTTTCAAGTCCCTTTAAGTGCCTTTTTTTTTCACAGCAAACATGTCTAAATACAACAAGAAGAAAGAATAAAACATAATATATAAAGCAAACATGACTAGATACAGTATTTTTTCCTTGATAAAGCAGTTCTGCATCTTTAAAACAAGATGCTATCAAAACTTTATAAACTAATTGCCTCTTATAAGTAAGGCTGGCAAGTATTAATGTATTTGTATTTGAACTCTTCAGTTCAGTAAGTGAATTTCCAGCACTAATGGCAGCTTCTTGTAAAAAAACAAAGATAGTTGCACTTCACAAACCTGGGTTTACAATACAAATACGGGCTTTTAATGCACACAGCTATATAAATGATCCCCTCTACTGCTAAGTATGCAGCCTGAGAGATTCTGAACAAAACCAGTTCATAATTGTAACAGATATAAAACTTGACTTCTATTTTGCAGGAGCAAATGGAAACACTATTAGTCAATCTAAGAAAAAAATTAAGGTTAGGAGAGATTTTGGTTTCTGTCAAAACTATACGCCTGTTGCCGTCATTTCTTCTGTGCTCAGCAGGCAACTGCAATAGCACTCAGCAAACACCAAGCTCCAGCTCAAGGCTCAGGTTTAAAAGTAACTGCAACCTGGAAAAGTACGGGCATACGCATATACACACAGAGTTTTACAATAATGTTTAGTGCAAGAACAAGAACGAGGTTGATAAAGCCAGAACCTGGCTACTTAATGTTTCTACAAAATCTTTCTCTCCTAAGCACAACAATATAGATTTCTCTCGTGTATTTTGTTCTCTTAGATTTAAGAGAAAGCAGTAACACACATTTATTTGATACCAGCTTAAAAACCTAGACAAACAAGCAAAATTCTGTTGCATTCATTAAAGCATGTACAGGGTGTATGGCCTGGAAAACAAGTATTACAAAGGACAGCTGCATCTAAGACTGACCTATGTAGCCTGTTACAAACAAGTTACACAATAGCCAAGTTGTTATGCCATGAATGACACATGTGCCTGGTACTGATACACCAATGGATGTTCCAAACATCTCTAATACCAAAAGTACTAGTATGGGAGAAAGAACAGAAGACAGGTGGGATGTGTCTATTTTTAAATGAAAAGGGGGTACAAAACCACAAACAGGATAGCTTAAATGATTAAATTTAGGATCGATTCAATTCTTTCTTAATGTAATGTCCCCTTTTCACCAATGGCATCAACAGATTTCATTAAGCTTACCTGAAGGAAACTGACGGCCATTAAAAAAAGACTGTAAGAACCGATTCCACCTGTAAATACTTCATTAAGGTCCCTCTGCAACAGGAACTGTTTCAGTACTAAAACTAGATAGGGTAATACAGGATATTTCTGAAAGAGAAAAACAAAGGCGTTAGGATACTGTGATGCATACATACAATTGATGCTAAAAAAGAACATTGAAGCTAGCTGTTATATTAAGTTTCAAAGCTAAGTATAATTCTAACGTTGTTTTATTAACAGGGGAGAAGCCAAGTGCTCTGCTTGTGATCAAGCCAGTTATTTTACCTCTTCAACTCCGGTGGCAAATATTAATAGAAAAAATTATTACTTCATAAAATCAGAATGATTTTGTTTGAATATATAAATACACTTGCTTTTCTCATACAAGTGAAAAGGAAAGTGAAGGGACAACTATGGAGATATCCATGTCTGTAACAAAACCCTCCTGCTACAACCAAGGGGATATCCCAAAGTGGACTGAGACTTCTGTCCAGCAAGTGCTTCAGGTGCCCAGAGTTCAAAACAGTTCTTCAAAATCACTACACCTAGATAACATTGTCAAAGGACCCAAATACTTACCTTTGGGTAACGGGTCCTTCAATAGGTTTGTCCGCACGGGCTCCCTTAGAGGCATGCGTATGCCGTGCGTGCACGGACCTTTTGGAGAGCAGTGGAGGCTGGGGCTACGCCTGCACTCATTGGGGAGGGGGCAAGAGAGGCTCGATAATATCGCTCCTCCTACCAACAAAGAGCTAAAGAGTTCCTTAGTGTCCGAGAAGAGACGTGGATCATAGTAACTGCGATTGCAAAAGATTAAAAGGAAAGAAGAATTTCTCCAAGAACTTCTCTGCACGAGTCTTACGGTGGGTATCAGGAGCCCTATTTAACCCAAGATCACCTTTCCGAACTATCAAGAACTTACAGTCACAAGCCGAAGTGTTGCATATCAGTATATGCCAAAATTCAAAGACAGGATTTTTCTCAGGAAACTGCAAACCCCTTAATTAAGGCTTCAGCTGCCTCAGACCTCCTAAATAAACTGGATGACAAGAAAAAGGCATTTCCAAGTGTAACACTGAACACGACACCTAGTTAGGCACTCAAAGTTACGTGGGATAAAATAAAACCCAAGAGAGTACCCTGCAAGTGTTTTACGGAGAGCTCCTCAAGAACACCAGTGAAGTCACTTGGCAAGCACATATCAAGTTTTCTCCAAGTTAAACAAATGACCCTCCACGGTAGCGCAGCTATTACCTGCCGCGCGTCAGGGCTGAGTGCCACCTCTGCCCCGCCGCACCAGGCACAGCTCGGGTGCTCAAGGCCAGCTCTGGTGCGGCACAGCTGCGCGGCCTCGGCTTAGGCCGTGTGGGAAGGCGCCACGTGGGAAGCCTTGTTGGGAGTCCCCCCGCTTCACTCGAGAGCTGCCTTTCATCTCAGCTGCTCCCCTTGGCGTCTGCCTGGGCCGTGCTGCTGCGCACTGATGCCGACCCTGACCCTAACCACAGACTTGGCATCCTCGGCCTCGACCTCCTCATGGGGAAGCCATCTGCCAGCTGCCGGCCGGGCTGCGAGCCGACCCTGACTACTGCCACCAGAGCTGCTCTGCTCCTCACGGCCACCGCCCCGATACGCCGCTCCCGCCCTCCCCGGGGACACAGCCCGCTCTGTCGTGCCCTGGCCCAAGGGCAGAGCAGCCTCTGCACAGGGTTACAAATAACCCGGGCAACAGGAACACGCTAACACACAAAAAAATGCCTTCAGGCCCTCAAGAGAAGACTACCTCTTATCTTGAAATTAAGTACACAGGCAATTTTGGGCAAGCATGCAAGGCTTTAGGGACTTACCTAAAAATACATTTATATGCGGAGTGTAAGAGAAATAGAGCTCCTGTGTTGCGGCAGAAAACCAAACACAGACTGCCTGTCCACCACAAGGCAATGTGACAATGCACAGGATGTAAAAACTGAAGTTAGCTACCAAATTCCAGGTAGGCATCTCATGACAGAGAATCTGGGCATCTTCTGTCCCCAACAAGTTGCTACGTAGCACAAAACTATTGCTCTGGATTTATCAGCAAGCAGTTGGCCAACACAACTGAGTTCTGTTCATCAGAGAGAGGCTGAGAGAAGGTCGGTCTCTGGACCCGCTCCACCCTTGTACTCGGAAGGCAGATGCAAGAGGCCTCACCAGCACAAGGTTTAAGCAGAAGGCTTCTACAACCACGCAGGTGAGATCACGCAGACAAGCACTCACACCGTCCTACTGAAACTGAACTAAGTACGGAGATATTTTTCCTCCTATGCCCTTCTACGGGTTAAAGAAATCGACACTGTAGAAGCAAACTGAGCTACTTTCATACTTTCTACTAAACATACATAAAGGAACTGAAGATTAACAAGTTGAAGGCCATACATTCAATTCATCACAAATTGAAAATCCAGCCAAATTTAAAAGACTTCTGGCAACTTGATGACATTATTAAAGCAGATGTATATGATTTCTAACCCTTATAATTGAAAGTGCATGCTTTATTCCAATTTACAGAGTTTTCTGAAGGAGTTTTACCTGTCTAGCTACTGAAATATTTTGATTTGTCCATTAGTTTTGGTAAAAAACCCAAAGCAGTTAGTAGAACAGTAATACATAAGCACTTAAGTCAGACTGAACTGCACTTCATGTCCCTACACAGAACATGAAAATTCAAGAAAGTTTTTCTACTGCTTTTATGAGACATTTACTGTAAGTGTCCAATGCACTGAAGAGGGGAAGGGAAGGAAAAGAAAAGAGTGTAATGATACTTCAAAACTTTAAATACAAAAGCTCTTTAATCCTAACAAAATGATCCTAAACAAAAATAACTGTAATGTATCTACGATACAGGTATTAGTGAATCCCTGAACAATAACTTACTAAATTTAACTTATTCTACTTAATTAGCATTTGTATGCTGAAACAACATTCAGTCTAGAACAAGATGATTCCTACTTTCTGCAGGAATCTGTGTTTATTATGAATCGTAAGTTCAAGGAAGCATGGTTGAAGGGCACAATACTTAAGACAGGTATTACTGCATTTTCTTTAGTCATTATATCATTATAACTCCTCCGTACTTTCTTTGTACATTTTACTCTCTTTATGCCTTTTAGGGCAATATATCTAAAACCTGAGAACATCACACAACAGCGCCAGACAGAAAAAATAACCAAGAGTTAACATGTATCTCTCGTAAGGATGCAAAGTAAAACAGAAAATCAAATTAAGTCAACAAATATTCAGCTCTGTAGTTCTGTTATAGTGTTGCCTAACCTTGATAAAATCTTTGATGAGCTGGGCTGCTTTAACCCCGTTCTGTACATTAAAGCTTATATCAACTTTAACTTCAGTGAAGGAATCTGTCAGTTTAATAATAGGTACCTGCAAAAGAAAGACAGAGTAAGTCAATACAGATTTCTAAGACACCTTTGCTTTCATTCATACCTATATGCACCAGTAAAACTGAAACATTTTACGAATTTGTAGAGAGGAGGCAGACAGAGAAAACAGGACTCACGTCTATTTATGAATTCATTCTCCTTGCCAATCTGTTTACATGAACTTTGCTTTTCTAATTCATAAATGCTATTTTCAATTTACTATTCTGTTTAACAGAACTTAACACTTCATCTTCAAAATGATTAATTCTAAATTGTTTTTAGTCAGTTCCCGGTGCAGAAGTATAGTTCTAGTGGGAAAAACAAACACCAGAGGGAGACAAATGCTTAAGAAATAAAGATAAATGGTAATAGACAGATACTCAGGAAAAGACACACTCCTATCATTGTGGGCCGCTGATTCCTCATCAAAATTATCTCCAAACAAAAAGCAGAAGATATTGAGAACACTCTGACGTATCTCCACCTGAGTGCTTTCCAAATGACCTCTACTAATAATAGCCATCAATTAGACACCTCCTTAAACTCCAACACTCTTCCATACTCACAATTAGCAGAAGGTAGGAAGGTATAATGGAATTAATCCTATCCTGCACAAGACATACCATTACATATTTATACAAGGCTGCACTTACTACTTCTGTATGAAAGCATACTATGTCTGCTTACTCGCAATAAGAAAAAATAAATCATTTATTTACGTACAAACTCAGTCCAGAACTTCACAAGTCTAATCACATTAACTCACAACAATGACTAGTATAACCTCACTTAAAAGCAAGTGTATGTCGTGCAGTATGGAAAATCTGAAATGCTTCTGTTGGAGCATTAGCATCAGCAATAAAAACCATACTAAATAAAAAGGTTCTACTGGTTCTATTTCAACTTTATCTATAAAATAGTTTCTGCTTATGAAAATTCATCCTTTTAACAAAGATCTTTGATTAGAAATTTAGCTTAGAACAAGGAAATACCCTCTTCCCCCAAACTTACAGTTGCTTTATCTAAAACCTTCACTGAGTTTTCATCTGCTACATTGTGCTTTCTAAGAGCTTCTTCCAGGGTCCAAAGAGGTAACGTCTCCCATTTTCCAAACACAACTAAATCAATATCACTGCAATGGAAAGAAAATATAGATTTATTCAAATTAAAAGATCAATATATTTAAAACAGAAACATCGGACATCCACACATAACTAGAATAAAGCTGACAGAATGTAGCTTAACCAAATAATTTATTCTTAATTTTCTGAGGAAAGGGATGGGTGGGGATGAACTCTCACACTTGGGGAAATGCAGAACACTGCAGGTTACCAAGGGAGGGGACAGATACACACACCGATCAATTGGCCTGCAAAGCCAGAGATTAGTCTCCCCAAGCCACACTGTCAGCAGAGAGGGATCAGCTTCTCCAGAGTGATTCAGAGCAAGAAATTAACTTGTTGTGAATCACCACCTTTGGGCTGTATTAATCAGTAACGCCGACTTAGCAGCCTGTCACTGAAAGGGAAAGTCCTGTTCCCCATCCTCTCCTCCCAGATGCATGGCCCTGTCCCCTCCTTGACTCTAGGTCTGGTATTTGTCTAACCCACAGCAAACCAACTCAATATATTAATGGGCCTGGCAGAAACCAAATCCCCCCACCCGTTTAAAAAACCCCAAAACATTCTGGGGGAATCCCCTGCTGCTTGGCAACTCAAAGCTGGTTTTCTGGGTGACGGGAGCACCAGTGGGCACACGGTAAGCAGCTGGCCTGTGCTGCCAAGAACTGGGAGCTGGGAAGGAGAGAGGAAAACGTGGCAGCTTTGACTTCAGGAAGCAATAAGCTGTTAAATAAGATCAAACCATCTAATTAACTTCACTCATTAACTTAGCTCCTTGAAGAGGTATCTCCAGACCGCTACACTTCCCCTCTGTGTTCATACACATTCATTTGACTACACAGGGAGCTGACGCCCCGATCAATGCCTAAGCTCAAATTCAAAAGGTGACCAGTGTCCAAACCGAAGGCAGTGAAGGCTACTGTGAGATCCTGAGCTTTCTCCTCTTTGCTCCTCAACTTCTTGGATTTCCCCTGCTTGGCTGGGAACACAAAGGCAGCGAGCACATGACCCTAGAGTTATACTAGCAGGCCACTTCAGTAAAATGGAAAACTGCGTAACACAAAACACCACAAAATTTAGGAATACTTCCCCCCCCCCACCCCATAGATTCTACAGGTTTGCTGATTCACAAACACCACCATTTTAACAATCTCAAAGAAACTACATCTGCGACAGATGAAGCATCTCTCGCCGCCCAGCAGTGCCGGCAGCAGGCAGGGTCAGCAGCAGGTCCGCTGCATACCCATCAGGCGACA